AAGGAAACAATTCATCATGTAACTTATCGATTCGTGATTTAAACTAGCTAGATCAGTTTTCTGATATAATGTAGCATAAAATTCCATCGCTTGGGAACAAATTGCCCCACCAAATTGTGTCAGGTGACAGATAAAAACTGAGCAAAATGTTTGAGGCCTGTTTTTGAATACAGTGAAACCTGTATTAAGCGGACACCCTCTATTAAGCGGACACCAGCTTGAGTCCCTAAATTTTCTACCCACATTTACTGTGAAATAAGCCAGCATTCAGTAGACACCTCTGTTAAGCGGACGCGGACAGCTGCATTGAGCCATTTTGTTGCACAAAACCTGCAATAAGCGGACACGTCAAGGGCTTTTTACTTTTAAAAGCTCAGCTCAGACTCCTTTAACATTGTTCAGCGATGTCGTTTAAAAACTAAGTGGATTATTCCAGATTGATGCATCGACTGCCAGCTGGAACAAAGTGCTATGACCAGTCTTTGATCTTACTCTGTGTCACACTGTGTTACAAAAGGGTTAATAATTAACTATTATTGCAAAAGATATTAGAACCAGCTTTGAACGGACACCCTGTATTAAGCGGACACTAGTGAGTGTCCCAAGGGTGTCCCCTTAAAACAGGTTTCACTGTATTCTTATTCAAAATCCATCTGGCCATCCATATTTTCTCGGGTCACTTTTCCCATAGATTTCTTCGTCCTTGTCTCTAACCACCGCCTGTACAACGGCAAAGGAAGCCTTCTCTGAGATGTTATGTTTGCGGGCTCTCAAACCGTCTTGAATGTTCTGGGAGATGGTGTAAGGAGGCTTTTCGATCATGACCGTATTTGGAAAGAGTTGGTGATGGACGCGTGGATAATCGACTGCACTTGAAATACCACGTGACAACCACAGCTCGTTGACGACTACCTGCAAATAAAACGGAAAAAAGCTGGAAATATCATATTATCACATTACTATAGGCGAATATTTACCGACGTCATTGTTTACATTTTTGCTCATCGAGACACGACTTCACACAGAGAAAGCATAGTGCTGGATACAAACTGACTTCAAACATTGACAGAGCTTGTTAACCAATTAACCCCCTAAAATTTCACCAAAAAATGCCGTTTTTAACCGTTAAATCAGTTTTTTTGCTGCCATGACGCTAAATGAGCCTCAGTTTTGCTGAAAAACCCATTATATTTTTCACCAAAGGGATAAATTTCCCGAAGATCAGGCGCAAAAATGTACAAAAAATAAAATGTACAAAATATCACCTTTCGCCTTATGGATCCACAGCTATTTTGACAATGTTATGACGAAATTCATGATCAATAACAGGACAGACGCATGAAAAACTGACGTCAATTTGTTAAGGGTGGCAAAAACGCTATTAAGCTTTTGAGTTTTTAAATCCGCGTCGCACAAAAAGTTTTTAATACATATCGGGCTCAAATTTCTTGGGACAGTTAATCGTGCTATGCCATTTCAGTATCTGGAACTGATATTATTGTCAGGGATGGCGGAGCGTATTGTGAATTGGGGGGGACTTACAAGCGCTAACTTGTTGGGGGGGTCTGGAGATATTCGTTTTATGGGTTTTTAATTAATATTTTATGTATTTTGTACTTGAAATTGGGGGGGGGGGGCGCTAAGCCCCCGAATCCCCCCGGCTCTATCTTCCCTGATTGTAACTATGTCAAAAACTGAATTGCTTTGACTAATGAGGCAAATATTGTAAACAACGATTCCCCTATATGAATTGAGCGTTTACTTAAATGTGATAATCTATTCAGTAAAAAGATTATCATGCACTTGTATCAACTTCATTTAGGTATTTTGTCTTGCTAGGGAGCCAAAAAATTAGCACTACGTGATTTGTACTTTGTGCTCGGTCAGCGGTTATCTAAGATCACTTACGAGAGAAACCGCTGTCGTTATAAGCGGTCCTCCAGAAGCACCCGCGACCAGTCTCACTCGGCCACTTCTGTCAGTGAAAATAACAGGGCTAATAGAGGACTGGGGCCTTTTTCTGGGTTTGATAAAGTTGCTCTTTGAAGGCGGGATGTCATCAGGGTTGAGCTGGCCTGGGGTCGAGAAGTCTCCCATCTCGTTGTTGTAAATTATTCCAGTGATCCTGGAACGGTATTTACATCCAAAGCTGTCGCAACAAATACACAGCAAATAGTTTTGCATTAGTTTCCTCCTAGTTAATAGGGGAGAATGAAGCCTAAGAAACTTTAAAGGGGTAAACAAAGATATGCCAAGATAGAAGTCCATCTTTTGTTTTGCGTTCATACGCTATGCAAGAAAACTGCAAAAACATTTTAGCCACGAAAGTGAAAGATCTCTTGTCAAGACCTTTTTTGTGTCTACCAACTAAGAGCTGGCAAGCTCCTTTAATTTCACAACTGCTTAAGTCGTGTACATAACTGCTATGATCATTCATGTCTTTACATCTCTCTCCACCTTTCAAATACATGATCTTTTATATATTTACTTGCAAACAAGAAAGGTGTCGCCATTTTGTAGACGACCTACAGCCACATGGCCAGCCGCGCCACTGTCACAACAGCTCAGCCAATCAGATTGCTTGTTATACTTATGGAAGTTCCCAGTACGAGCCACAACATTCTCATTTTTCCTGTTATACTTTATTACGGGTTTATTGTACTGTGTACTGATAAGAGTCACAGCATTCCCATTTTGCTGATTATACTTACTGGAAGTTTATAGTAGAGGTAAGGGCCACAGCATCACCATTCGGAGATAGCACAGAAAGATGTGAGGTTCCGTAGTCCTCCTCAAAATGAAAGTTTCCGCGGTAATACGAAGCGTTGCTGTGGGTTTGGTTATCCCAAATCTTCCGTCTCAAGATCTCGGCAAAAGTTTCGTTCGTCATCTTGGCGACTGTCTGCAAAAAAAGTAAAGGAAGTGTCAGTGAAAATACAGTTGACTCCCAGCAAGAGAGGATAAACTTCAATTCATCCAAAGAAGGGCAAGAGATTTAATCTCCACGCTAGGGAGGGGATCGGTGGGAGGCGCGGTGG